TACAGCTCTTCACTTTTTTGGTCATTGATAATTTTTTTTGTTTCTGACTATCATCGCATCTTGAAAAAGAAACCCTCCTAAATGACCGGACAGTGTAAAAAAAGCAGTTGCCAACGTCCGGGTTGTCGTTATCCTGTTGAAAGCGGCATGCAGTGCGACGAGTGCAAAGGCTGGTACCACGAAGTTTGCACGAACTTAACGCCTGCTGCTTTCAAACGGTTCAGTAAGAAGGGTTGTGTGTGGCTTTGTCAACAGTGCTGCTCGAATGCAAACAGCTAACCGAAAAGGCCATCTCACTGGTTGATGCTGCAAAGAAGTGTTTTAGCAAGCATAGTCGGAACGCGTCAAACAGCACTCGATCTGTTGACACGCAAATCAACGTGAAGGAAACTAAGGTTAGTCCGGTGATAGATGACTCACGCCCGTCAAAGAAGGAAAAGCAGTCTCCAAAGGGGCCTGCCTTAAACAAAAGCTCAAGAAAAGTAGGGTCTTCTGTTCCCCGTCTCCCAGATGGGATCCAACAGGAAACACCTAGAAGCCGCAATCGCAAGGCTCGATCGGTTTCAAGCGGTAAACATAACACGACCTCTCAGGTCGTCGACAACCCCCCAAAACCCAACACTAGGTTTGACGCAACTGTTATTGCTTCTACCAGCACCGTTGACGAATGGGTAAAGGTTGTAAGGAAGAAAAGTAGGGATATAAAAGGGAAACCTGCCCCCGTAAAAGTGGTTGAAAAATCGAAAGCTGATCATAGCGACAGATCAGCTATTTTTCATAGAATCAAGGAGAGCGATAGCTCTGAACCTAAAGCTCGTTTTGAGCATGACATTGTACTGATTAGGCAGCTGCTTAATCAACTCATGCCTCAAAATATGGCCGGGGTCACCTTGCTAAAGGTGTACAGACTAGGGAGTCTAACGGACTCGAAACCAAATCATTCCAGACTGCTTAAAGTAGTATTCGGCTCTTCGAACGAACGTGACCTAATTTTACAAAATGGACACAAATTAAAGGGTTCAGGAGTCTTTATCCGAAAGGACCTACCGTTGGCAGACCGTGTTAAAAGACGGGAAGCCGAGAAAGAACTACAACATAGGTTAGACGCTGGCGAAAAGGACCTGAAAATTGTAAATTTTCGGGTTGTAAGACTTCGACAGAGAATGATGCCGAAGCCACTCTGGGTGAAGCACGAAGGCACTTAAACAGGCTTCGGATCTGTTACACCAATGCACGAAGCTTACTTAATAAGCGATCGGAACTAGGTGTACAGATTGACTCTACAAAGCCAGATATAATCGCAGTAACAGAAACCTGGCTGACACAGGCTATAGATAGTATAGAACTTGATTTCGAGGGCTTTACGTTAGTAAGGGCCGACAGAACACAAAAGCGCAAAGGAGGGGGAGTAGCTCTATTCATTAGGAATGCTATCCCATTTACCATTATCGATAGTGTATCCCATGAGAGTGGGACGTGTGAATTAGTTAGTCTTCGCTTAAAATGCAAGGGACAAGAGCTGCTGATTGGTTTGGTCTATCGCAGTCCAAGCTGTGAGGCAAATGAGATCCTGTTAAGCAGTCTCAATACTTGGTCCCAAAGTGGTCGATGTCTAATCCTAGGGGACTTTAATGCACCTATGGTAGACTGGGAAAATCTGCGAACTAAATCGTCGGAGAATTCTTTCGAGCAGGAACTAGTTGATGCGGTTATCACATGTGCTCTAGTGCAACATGTGAAAGAAGCGACAAGGTACGACCCGGACACTGAATCATCCTTATTAGATCTTATACTGACTCACTATGAGGATGATGTTGCGAACCTCCACCATATGCCACCCTTAGGTAAAAGTGACCACGCAGTTTTAACTTTCGACTTCCATATAACTGCCAGTCATGAGGACGCGTCAGTCCAGTCCAGACCCAACGTCTGGAAAGCAAACATACCAGACATCATGCACTCAGCATCGTTAATAGATTGGACAATAGACCCAGAGTCCTCCATTGAAACGGCCTGGGACGCATTTCGAAAATCATACTTAAAAGTTACCACACCTCACATCCCTTGGACTATACCAAAGGGGCCGAAAAACTCACCACCATGGTTCAGTAGGGAGGTCCGTATCCTTCTCCGTAAGAAAAGGAAAATGTGGGATAGATTTAGGTTACTGGGGACTGATGAGTCAAAATCTCAGTATCGAAAGGCTCGGAACACTTGTGCCTCGACCCTCCGTAAGTCTAGAAAATTGTACGAAGAAAAACTTGTTAAGGAATCCATAGAATGTCCTAAACGCTTGTATTCCTATATAAACCAAAGGACAAGGAGAAAAGGAAATATTCCTGCTCTATGGGGAGACAGTACTGCTTCATCATTAGTGGAGGACGACTTTGGTAAGGCTCAAGCGTTCTCGAACTACTTTAGCAACGTGTATACCATAGAAGCGCCCTTCTCGTCAGCGTATACAGATCCCCCCATACATACACTGGATAGAACTCGATGTCTTTGGTCTGCTAAATAAGCTTGACATAGGTAAATCCACGGGGCCCGATGAATTACATCCTAGGCTACTGAAGGAATTATCTAACTTCGTTGGAAGCCCTTTAAGTACATGCTTTAACCTATCCGTTACGCAGGGTCGCTTACCGAAAGATTGGAAAAACGCCATAGTAAGTCCTGTCTTCAAAACAGGCACGAAACACAAACCTGAGAACTACCGCCCCGTTAGCCTAACTAGTGTGGTTGTTAAAATCTTAGAAAAGATTATTCGGAAGGAGCTGTTTAAGTATCTCGATAAAAACCGGATCCTCTCGGAGAAGCAGCACGGCTTCAGAATAGGTTATTCTTGTCTCACTAACTTATTAGTGGCTCGTGAAAGCTGGTGCGCTCTTAAGGACCAAAAGCTACCTGTAGACGTCGCCTTCATTGATTTCAGTAAAGCTTTTGATAAAGTTCCGCACAACCGGCTGTTATATAAGTTAAGAAAAGTCGGGATTGGAGGCAATTTATTGATGTGGATAAAAGACTTCTTAGTTGGGCGTCAACAAAGAGTAAGGGTGAACTCAAAGTTATCTAGCTGGGAAACTGTGCTTAGTGGAGTGCCCCAGGGTACAGTTTTGGGGCCAGTGCTATTCCTCTTGTATGTAAATGACCTTCCTTGTCTCCTATCATCATCGGTCTTGCTATATGCTGACGATGTCAAGATATGGAGAACGATACGATGTAAGAGTGATAGCTTAGAACTTCAAAATGACCTGAAGAATTATCTGAATGGTTTTAAACATGGCAGTTGCCGATAAATACTTCCAAGTGTGTTGTGATGCATATCGGTCATCAAGGCACAGATACATACACGATGAATAACACTGAGCTACCTGTCGTCCAGACATATAATGACTTAGGAGTTATCGTTAGTCAAGACTTAAAGACTACTGCACACTGCCGTGCAATAGCCGCCAAAGTTTTAGAACGTTATGGTCAATACGTAGGGCTTTTAGTCATGTCGACGCTAAAACGTTTTTGACTTTGTATACAGTGTTCGTACGTCCTAAACTTGAGTACTGCATACAAGCGGCTAGCCCCTGCTAAAAAAACAGTGAGCTTCTGGAAAAGGTTCAGAGAACGGCGACTAAGCTGATTCACGGAATAGCGAAGCTTCCGTATGAATCTCGACTGGCCAAGCTGAACCTTTTCCTGTTGTCATATCGCAGAACTAGAGGCGACTTGATTACAGTTTTCAAATTGCTTAGTGATAAATTTGCACCTGATATGCCCTCATTCTTCTTGTCTTCCAAAACAGAGAATTTACGAGGACACTCCAAAAAAGTTCATAGGCCGAGAACAAATTACTTGTCAGCTGACTATCGACTTTCCCATCGAATCATCAACGAATGGAATTCACTACCTTAGCACAAGGTTGAGGCCCATCCGTCGACTCTTTCAAAAGAATGTTGGATCAGCTGAGAGACCACCATTGCCAGGACTAACATAGGCAATCGAGCCTCCTGTCCTTCCCAAACTGAAACTGAATGAATGGGAGTTGATCGGATGGCATGGCTCGGCCATGCAGGCGTGGTCCCTCTGAGTGTTACCTTATATCTTCTATTCATATTAAATATTTTGTTCCTTCTCTAGCCTAACCTTGTTCTACATCATGAATTGGAAATTGGTACGATACAGTGAGTTGGTGTAGTCGATGGTGTGACTTCCACGTAAGATCTTATAGATTAGGCAGTTATATCATGACAAATCTACAATTTTAGGATCAGGTCTATTATTAGAGCAGTACTAATATCATAGTAGACCATAATCCTACAGATGAATGTAAACAATTTGAGGATTATGTTAATGATATTACTGAAAAAGTCACGAAAACCTAAAGTAAACAATTGGAAACATTGCAACACGTAGATGTAATTAGTAAGTTTTCAAAGTATCCTCCAAAGCATTTATGTAATCATTCTTCAAATAAACTCCCGTCAGTTAAAATTCAGGCCTTATCATTGGGTCTCAAGTTCTGTAGCAGCATCTCCAAAAGCAGTAGACTTCATACGCAAATGCGATTCGAAAATCTATCAAGTCAAACTCATGATCTTTTACTTAACCAGTTGTTTATTAGTAAATCTTTGACACCTATTAGATTCTGAGTACCGTGGCAGGGCTTCATAGATTGACTGATTCATTCACGTTTTGCTTGCTTACCTGCGTCTGTTACTCCCAGTGGAGCATGGGCCGCCGACCAGCGTTCTGCAACCCACTTATTCCTGGTCCATCCTTTCTAGTACTATTGTAGTGGCATTGGACAATAGCCACACAATCCACAAAGCTGTGAACACGAGACTACACAGAAAATAGATATTCAATATTTAACGCGGAGAAATACCCAACGATGGGGAAGGCGCGAATAGTGAATTGAATGGACGGGAGTTGATCGAGTGGCATGGCTCGGCCATGCAGGCGTGGTCCCTGCTGGATGTTATCTTATATCTCCTATTCATATTAAATATATTGTTCTTTCTCTAGCCTAAGCTTGTTCATCATGTATTGGTAGTTGTTACGATACGGTGAGTTGGTGTCGATGATGTGACTTCCACGTAAGATCTTATAGATTAGGCAGTTATATCATGACAAATCTACAATTTTAGGATTAGGTCTATTGTTAGAGCAGTACTAATATCATAGTAGACCATAATTCTACATTGGTGAGCCCAACTAAAGAAACGCAACCTATTATTGTTAATCCTTATTTCCACCTTAACCTTCTCAATCGAATTTTATTTTTGTAAACCCACTATTCTAATAGTCCTTTGATTAATGGTCACATATATTATCGTAATGTTATATCTATTAGTTCACATAACTTACTAGCTCAATCGATAATAAAAGTTGATCATCTATATCAACTAATTAGCTTTGATTGTTCGTTAACAAGCTTTAATAGCATTTACATGCTTCAGCAACATAGACTTGTTTAAACATCAAGCTCTAGCAAATATGACCTGCAAATAGCGTAAGTATACATTGACTAACAATGCAATCAAGGACTAAATAGTTATCGGGATCTAATTATCAGTGTTCCTTCACCTAACACCTCATCCTGTTTTAAACTATGCACTATCCTGTAATATCTTTTCTTCTGACCACTGCCTGCCTAATTTCATATTTTCGAGTTCTATTGCCAAACAACAAGGATGACACTTCTCCAAAAACATACGGTGAGTTTCATCTATAGGTTTTCTGCAATCATAAGATCATTTTAGATGGCTCGTTCAATAACAACCACACAATTAACTGAATTCATTCGATTGTTCTAATCCGAGCGAGTGGCAGAAACGTCAACACCATCAAGCACCCTGGAATTAATTTCCATACTGCATGTTTTATTCTGGATACTTTTGGATCATTACTACTTCTTACAAATGGCGTTATATATGTCGTACACTGAATAATATAATTTTCAAAAATAATCAAGGCGAGTTCAACTATTTTACTGGATGATTTTTTTTGTACTTAACATGTATATGTTTTTCAGTTGCTTTTGCCATATATTTGTAAGTGTCACTAAGCTAAATGCAGTAACTTCTTATGGAAGGTTTATAACGCATCATATTCCTGCCTGAAGTTTCACAAGCAGTCTTAACTTTAAAATTATTTTCTGGTCATGTTCATTATTTTTAAATCGTCATATACGTCAACAACCTGCATGTTAACCTGGCCCATACATACGTCACACTATATCTCCATGTCTTATAAATTTAGAAATCATCTAGATCGCCTTTAACATTTATCAATAAACCCATCATAGTTGTTGTCGCTAATCGTATTTGGGTTTATGGATTGATTTATCATATTAGCAGCCTAAAATGCGAACATAGTTTAAACAATAAGATTAAAAATTTAGGTACTATCAATTGTACCAGTAAAATAACTCAATCCTCAGGTAGCTGTTGGCTAAGCAAACACTTGAAATAAAAACTCCGTAGCCTACTAGAATTAACACTAAACGAATATTTCTGAATTGAAATTTATAATTAAATTAGGCGTCTCGGATTCTTTAACGTTGTAAATTTCTGATGATTTCGAATCACTTAAAGCAACAATACCTATTTTTCCACTGACTAATCCTCAATCAACACTATAACTAATTAAATTTAATAGTTTCAGGATATCGGCATAAAGCATTGTCATAACTTGACAATCACGTAATATGACTGATAAAATTAATGAAACTATTAACGAAATGGGTCAACAAATTGACTTATAATTACCATTAAATGGTGTTGTTTTCTTGGTATCTTCATCCATCACAGATGATTACAGTATGTTTCTCTATCAGTTGCTCATTCAGTAAATATCTCAAAACCTTGTCAGTCTAATTGATGGTTTAGCGACACAATCATGCATGCAAATAATCAGTATAAGCAGTCGAGCAAATCTCCTGCAAACTGAAAATATCAATGTCGAATTTACCCCAACACTGACTAAGGTTCAAGCCATTATCATAGACATGAGTTGGGAGTGTACTCCCCCTGGTTACAACTTATGTTCTCTCTGATAATCACATGAGCATCCCTCACTATTAATCATCTTGTAAAATTTTATTTAGCTAAATACATCTTGCAGCACCACATCACCTCGTAATATGACACAGGCCTAACTGATTTTAATAACTTATAACCACTATATCTCAATTAAATCGTATTCCGCCTTATGATAAACTGCATACTTGCAACTAACTTGTATGCCCAATCAGCCAGCAAGTATAAATATAAATAAATAGTCTGCCGCAGATCAGAACATTGTGTCCAGAGCATGTCTCTTACGAATACACTCATGTTTAACGATTTGTTCCTAGCTATCTGTCCAAAATTCATATAATTATCATGTATTTAAATTTTATTTTGATAACCATTCATGTGTATTAGTAGTATTACTAAATTCTATCACGGTCAAGTAAAAATCAGATTGAGAAAATCTCCCCGTAACTAAATAAACCGTATCAAACTAACTGGAACACTAGTTGGAATTCTTCTCCACGGTATACTTTTGTTCCTTCAGTTAGCCTACTAATACAGATGCAATTGGAATTCAACTCATATGGACAACTAACCGGCATAATCGTTATTTGATTTCATAATTTAAACCAAAACTAATACCAATATTAACATTTCTACAATATTCATCACTTTAATATTTCTAAACACAAAATACTTACTACCTATACGTTAAGTTATTAACGAACGGCTATTAACACGCATCGTTTTATTATTATTATTATTGTAACCCCATTTTTTATAGCTCAAATAATCTTCACCCAAATTTTCATTTTAAGCGTGTCAAGCATGAAGGCAGATTTTTTTTAAAATTATTACATGTATTTCCCGACCAGATGCTGCCGCCTTCTTTTTGATTTATCTTTCAGCTTATCATTACCCGGAGAATTCTACCTATTCTTGGTAACCTCCGGCGCGCGACGATCCCATCCAGTTTGGTGTCGAACCAACATCACGTTGATTCTGGTGGGAGAGTAGTGTAGTGGCATTGGACAATAGCCACACAATCCACAAAGCTGTGAACACGAGACTACACAGAAAATAGATATTCAATATTTAACGCGGAGAAATACCCAACGATGGGGAAGGCGCGAATAGTGAATTGAATGGACGGGAGTTGATCGAGTGGCATGGCTCGGCCATGCAGGCGTGGTCCCTGCTGGATGTTATCTTATATCTCCTATTCATATTAAATATATTGTTCTTTCTCTAGCCTAAGCTTGTTCATCATGTATTGGTAGTTGTTACGATACGGTGAGTTGGTGTCGATGATGTGACTTCCACGTAAGATCTTATAGATTAGGCAGTTATATCATGACAAATCTACAATTTTAGGATTAGGTCTATTGTTAGAGCAGTACTAATATCATAGTAGACCATAATTCTACACTATCTAATTGTTGCTCATTCTTCACACGTCTCCATTTCTCGGCGTAACATGTTCTTTGCCCTTCTCCCTTGGCCTTGAGGATTCCAAGTGAGGACTTGCCTTGTGACGTCGCTGAGTACTTTTCTTAATGTGTATACTGTCCAGTTCCAGTGCTTCTTCATGATTCCTTCCTCCACTGAAAACTAGTTTGTTCTCTCCCACAGTAAGTTATTGCTGGTAGTGTCTGGTCAACGGATCCGAAGTATTTTGCGTAGACAACAGTTAATAAAAACCTGTATCTTCTGGATGATGGTTTTCGTAGTTCTATAGGTTTCAGCCCATACAGTAAAACTGTTTCGACATTTGTATTGTCATAACTGTCTCAACAACGATCTTTAGTTCTTAGTCTTTTGATATAATCCGTTGTGTTATCTTCCTGATTTATTTATGTTCATTTTCTACCTTTCAGAAATATAACAAATTTACGCAGTTTAAGAATGGAGTCATAATAATGTAGTATGGCGTCGAGTCGTGGTTGACTATGACCACCACTACAGGAAGACTACGGGCCAGTTACTAGGTTAGATCCCCGTAGTCCAAATATCAGAAGGCAGTTAATGGCTGTAGTCGAGATGTATTTGTTGGCGATCTTGTTTTATCGAAATAATACTGAGATGATGCCAAAGTATACAAGCGGGATTACTGAGAGTAACCGAGTTCGTACAAGGTCACAGTGTAAGATCCGTTTCGAATGTTTTGTGTGTGTGTGAAAATCCCCCCATGTATACACTTGCAATTTGTTCCTATTGATCCCCTTAGTTGTACAGTGTCAGTTTTGGGACTACATTTGAATCGTCAATATTTGTGTTTTTTATTACAGTTTTCATTTTTTTACGCCTTCATTAAGATTTTGTGTTTCTTCTTAAACTGCATCTATGTTGTTCTACTTGAATCTTGTTCTTGGCGGCAGCCATATTCATTTGCTCCCTCTTTTGTGCGTGTTCTATACAGTCAGGATGGATGTGACTGGTAATTTTGCTGCATCTTTTATCAATTCCTTTATTTATTGTGATTTAGATTTCATTGATCGAACAATTATTGGTTGAATAGGCGGGTGGTATTATTTGTTTAGGTAACGATGTACATTTAAATTTATGATGAATTATAGAACCGTCATTTACCCGATTACTTGTTTTCATTTTGACGGGCAAGAGCGAGTGTCTAACCTACCTGAACGGCTATTCTTCAATCCGAACCGTAGTTTGGATTCTACACACAGACAACAGAATGATGCGTATTTTTAGTAAACTTAAACAAAGAATAACAGTAAAACAATCACTGGTACAATTGTTTATAATAATAATTGTTTCCATTATACTACTCGCAACCTCTTCATAAAAGTAGGTCACTACAATAATTTGCTTGTTCCGCAGTTTTCTACGACATAACATCATACATGGATAGATTAGTCATTTTAACATTCCCATTAACCTCACTGATAACCTATTGAGTAAATGACATAGAATATAACTTGCACTCATTCTCATAACCGCTTTTCATAGAAAATCAGTAAAGTAATTGATATCATATGTTATATAATTCATTAAGTTTGTGTATCTATGTATATAATTATTTCAATCTATGTTACGTAATTGACCTTTCAAAGTACTAATATTATGAAATACATATACATATTAATCATTCAATAAATATTGCGTACTAATTGAAGTCATCATATTGTAAACATGTCGATCATATGGATACTAATCTGGAATATTTAAATAAAACATTATGTATACAAATTAATTATTATGACTAAATTAACAAGTGTATAGTAAGGAGAATTATTTCAACAAGTTGTTTAGTACGATTTCAATGATGTGAATCATTTTCTGTGGAATAATTAGTAAATTTTAACAGTTGAATTCATGAATTAACTGTAGCTAGACCACCAAGGAAATGCTGGAAGCATTGGATGGCCGTTTCATTTTCGTATGAGACTCTTCAGTAGTGAACATCCATGATTCCGCTTCTCGAGATCCTCAAAATCAACCTCTGATTATAATTAGTAAATTATTATATAATCTGACCTAACTAAATCCTTCACACAGTTACCAGGGTGAAACATAAGCATTATATGTCATTTGTACACGTCATCTTTTCATATACTTAGTCTTGGAGAGACGACTTGTAATCTCCTTTTAAAAAAATAGGAGTCGATATTGTAAATATTCAATTGATTCGTGTAACTTGAATCGATTTTGATACGCATGAAATGTGAATCATAAGCATAGAATGTATTGTCGGATAATTGAACATGTTTTTCATGCGAAACCTCTTCTTTTAGAATATTCATTTGATCAATAAATATTCAGCGCTAATCATATCAATGAGTAAAATGATCAACGATAAGTCAGTAACCGAATATGGTTGTACCAAATGCGCAGACAAACTTCATCAGTATATATGTGATCATTCACTACGTCTGTCTGAAGCACAAAAGTGGTTATTACAAGTAATCCTCAAAATTATCATCTTCCTTAAATGTATTATAGGAGACTAGTAAACATCCACTGTCATTTATGCTTTTCTCCAGTATAGAAATGCAACTACTATCGAATTTGTGTTATGCGATAAATGCTAGAAAGACACTTGATGTTGGTAAGTACGAGGTTTATATGGATTTGTTTACAAGCATATATATATCCATTCTATGTTCCTCATTGCTTCTCGAACAAGTTCTCAGCTTTCACGAAGTAAATGAAATGTACTAGTTTGCATTTAACTAATCATTTAAATTAACTGCATAGGTAGATCTAAGTAGAAATTTTATAAACCGAATGTGGCTATTATGTCTGACTTCGTTTCATGGTTTACGGCAACATTAAATGAGTCAGCGTTGAAATCATCCGTCTGTTATTTGTAGAACATTGTTTATTATCTCTACCAAATGAAGACGATTAAGGAGATCAGATGCTCTATTCCATCTTTCGTCTTACTGCAGCGAGTATTACATTTCAGAGTGGTTATGAAATTCGTGGATGCACAAATCATGTATGGAGAGGCAGAAATGGAAGGAAGGAGAGTTCAAGAAGTAGGAGGATACAGTCATCCAGTACTGACTGATTATCATTGTCTATTCGGATAGAGTCGAATGACTGAGAGAATTACCTTGAAGCAACTATGTTGATACCATATATCAACAACACATTCGTAGTTGAATTGCATATTGGTCTGGAAGTGGAAACTGGGACACTGATCTCATTGCATTTGAGACTCGTCAGATGGATGCATTTGCATGGTGTTATCGGTATTCGCATGGTAATTCAAAGCTAGTGGCTTCCGTTTCAAGCATCAATATGTGATCCACTGATGAATTGGGACCAAATAGTCAGTAGCTTGTTCGACGTTTGTGAATTTTATTTTGAAATAGTTTTCATTTAGTCGTTGTTGATGTTGAGTGTTGTAATTGATCAGTCTGGTTTTAACATATTGTGAACAGTTTACATCAATATCGTCATTCAGTCACCTGTTCTGAATAGAGTTGTATGATAACTGGTAGTGAAATCCGACATATTTGCATCGTCCCACATAAGCGTAGTCAATCTCTTGAGAGAAATGATTGTTTACGTGGAAGTGTGAGAAATCGGACACTGTATTATTTACATAAATAAATAATGAGTATTCTGAAACGTGTAACGAAGTGTTAAGTAGTTCATAAATCTGGCTCTACATAAACGCATTCTATTGTGTACTGAATGCGAATATCAAAGTATTTAGATGAACTAAATTTACATCCAACTACTTCATGTGCATTCAAATACCACACCGGTAGTCTAATCCTGAAACTGTGAACTTTCCTTCCAAATCACAGGCCTGTTGATTATGAATGTGGTTGATGAAATGAATAGAAACCTTACTAACGATAGTCAATTATGTCTGGGATTTTTGACGTTCACGAACTTTTGTGTTGTTTGGTTCAGGAATAGTTGGTTTCATATATATTTGTTAAGCTAATAGTTGTTTTGTTAGGTGACAGTGCTATCTAAACGAGTTTGGAAGATGTTAGTGTGATAATTTTACTGTTTTTTGATTGATCACTGTACATCAGTTAAACGACGAGTCATTATCAACAGATATGTTTCCATATGTTATTTTAAAATGAATTTAGGAACTTATACTGGATATAGTGCATTGTCTATCGCGGAAGTATTGCCATCAGATGGGCGTGTATTAACCATGGAAATAACAGATGAATATTTGAAAGACTATTGTTTGCCAGCATGGAAGAAAGCAGGTATAGAATCGAAAGTTGATTTCCAACTCGGTCCAGCTGTTGATACTCTACGTAAGTCTGATCATATGGTGTCGTATATTATTTTCAAGAAAAACAAAATACAGATGTACAGTCAATGTTTTAGCATAGAATATCCATGGTGATAAGCAGTTTGTCATCAGGTTACTGATGTGTTCACTAGTGTCAGCAATACTATCTGATTGGTTTTGGAAAAAGATAATATATGTGGAATTCATGCTACAGTTCTGTTTAAGGTAGTTGAAAATAATGGAATGTTGGTTAATGTGGACGGAATCTACAAGCAATCTTCTGATTAAGAAGTATTAGTGGAGTGGTCAGAAATACATAAATATCAAATGACTGAACTGCAAACAACTTTCATTGATATCGGTTTCGATATCCTTTGGTTTAAATATTGTCTGAGTTAACCACTTGTACAGACTATTGAAAAATGCTGACCAGTTTATTGTATCTGTATGTCCATTAGTTCTAAGTGCATTATTGATATGTTTGATGAAGTTCCCTCCTATAATGTACATGATGTATGCGAGAAGCTATAATGTTTGCACTAGACAACATTATCAGGTCTTGTTTAGATTGCATGACACTTCTTGAAATCATTTCAAATTATATGAGAATTTCCGTCTAAATTTGAAGTAATAGGTTCACAGTGTTTGTGCACCGAGATAATGCGTGACATTGAAGAGAAGGAATATATTGGTAAGATCTCTGTGATTGAGTCCAGTGTTTTGCTCGAAAAACTGTATACCAAATAGATCATTCAATCATATTAATGACATTTGAAGGAAGTATCTGCTATAGTGTGTATCAGATACGTGTAACGTGTGTGACGAAATGTGTGTTAAGGAACAGACTGTAAGTATTGTGTGTAAGTAGATCGAAGGTATGAAAAAAGTATTTCATTTTGATTGAAATCACGAATCGATGGATGTTAGACTATCACTGAAAAACTGGAAGCGGTATGAGATTCCTCAAAAGTGCGTATTCACAATCATCCATGAAGGACTCGAACCCAGCACTCTCAGTCTCGTGCACGAATTAATAAACTCTAGACTACTGTGCCGGCACATATATTTATTCGGTTAGTATTCGATAACAGTTGGATGTATGTAAGTACGTTCAGTTTGATAACAGGTTTGTTGTAAACTATTTATTGATTTGGTAACTGACCATTTTATATTTTTTGTACGCGCGGTAGGGGGGGCCGAAGCCCCCCGTTCAGGAATTAAAATATCACCCATTTATTTTAATTGAACTGTTGTGCCAACAGAAAATTTGATTGATAATGGAGAGAGTGAAACATTCGATTTTGCCCTGATCGATGCTGATAAAGAAAACTATAGTAATTATTATGAACTATGTTTGAAACTAGTTCGACCTCGTGGAATCATCGCCATTGATAATGTAAGTGTGTTTTATTTACGAGCATATGTTCTATGTATCTCAATACATTTGAAGTCAACTTTCATGACGAATCGATCTTTTAATGACTATTAATGAACCTTCTGTTTGGAAATATCTCGCCCTTAAAACTGCTTCTACATTTCATAAATTGTCGAGGGAATATTCCACATATTCGATGAAGTGAGAAGTATAATGTTATAATAATAAATGACTGTAGTTGTACACCTTCTGCCGAATGATGGCCCTCTTTTTCAAACTGAATTGAATGAGATTATCACATATATATATGAATAATTTATCTTGTATACGCTATTTGTTTTAAATTCTCATTTTGACAGCTGAATTACATGGTAGAAAACATCCACTATGCTTATCAGAAGCTTTTCCCAATCTCTTAGTTTATATTTTGGGTATCAGCTTTCAGGTTGTCTATCCGTAAATTCTGTATGTCTGGTATGATAAAACTTGGGAGAACAAGTGTTGTGAACGTTGGCACGATAAATTGGATGAACCGAATCACCAAATCAAAGGAACCTTCTATGGTCCGATTAAGGTTGTTTGATATGTGTGTAATGTGGTGTCGGGTCACGTTTGGCTATGATCACCACTACAGGAAGACTACGTGCCAGTTACTAGGTTAGATCCCACGTAGTCCAAATATCAGAAGGCAGTTAATTGCTGTAGACGAGATGTATTTGTTGTCGATCCCGTGGTATCAAAGTAATACCGAGATCGTGCCAGATTACAAGTGTGGTTACTGAGCGTAACCGAGTTCGTACAAGGTCACAGACAACAGAGGAATGCGTGTTTTTAGTAAACTTAAACAAAGAAGTACAGCAAATCAATCACTGTTAAATTAGTTACAATAATGATTGTTTCCATTAAACCAATCGCGTTCTCCTCATAAAAGTGACAGAAAAAAAATGTCTGGTATATGAATGACATACATGATTACGGTGCTATCAAAGCCCATTTAATAACTGTTTTCCATACCTTTTTGATCACTATGTTTTCTCCAGGTTCTACGGATGGAAAGTGTGCTCGACGAGAATGATAACGGTCCTGAAACTGTTGGTGTAAGAGAAATGAATGCATTGATAGCTAGAGATAACTCTGTTCGAATTTCTCTCTTAAGAACTGGAGATGGATTGACAATTGTTGTGAAGAATTGATTCATGTTATTACTGCTTTCAGAATGGTTACATTCATACAGACACACATATATTTGATTGATTAACCGAATTGCTTTGATTGCTATCACACATAAATAAATATTCCCCATTACTGTATTGTCATTTTCAATCATCACTGCATATGTATGTTGTTGTAATAAAACATTTCAATGAAGGGTTTCTGTATATTACATACCGTTTCAATCATTTGTAATTCACACTAAACATGTCTGAATCTCTCAAATGTGAGGAAATTTGTAGGATTGTGAGATTCTCCTTATAGTCTGAGGAAACATGAGGGATGTAATGACTAACTAGAGTTCAGTGGAAACTTGTGGCATTTTAATCGCACTTTTCCCATAGTAAATCTCCAAAATTTCTAATATGACTTTCTCAAATTTGCTGAAATTTCCCCAAAGTTGAGAGTTTAGGATTTAACCATGGGAAGAAATAAGCTTGCTGTTCTCAGCTTTATGCAGTGCAAGATTACTCAATACGAATACTTGACACAAGAATGGTAATTAGATCAATAAATCACAATATTTGACCACGCGGCAGACTCATCTGAATTATCCAGTTAACAATCAACAAACAGATGTGATGTTAGTATGAATATCAAAAAGATTCCGATTGAAGATAGTTTGACGATAGTTGATGATATACACGAACCACATGAGAAATACTGAGTTTTAGTTTATCTTCAGTAGACGTGAATTGTTGTAAATATATCGACTATATGTTTTATTATTTGTTTCAGTTAAAGCACATGATCGTAATGTTTTCCTTGTCGCAGATCAAATTATTTGGAATTGCCACTAAACCGAAACATGAAACTTATCAGAAATAAGAGCACAATAATGTGACAGATCTACTTCAGAAGGAATAGAACATATTGATTACTAACTATATCGCATACGATCTGATAATTGATTTGGCATGGAAATCCAGCATAGTCGTACACACGTATACATCGAATGAAGTGGTAATTTTAGGTTCCTGAATGCTTTTTACTAGAAAAGTAACATCTTTGATTGAAGATTGCATAATATAATGGATATTTCATTGATTCATATCAATGGTCGTCCACGTTGTTCATTAATTGTATCATCGTGTTTTTTATGTAGATTATTATTTATTTATTTTAACACATAGATATTGGTACAAGAAGGCACCAAATACATATGCTCCACACAAATGTCATTCGATATGTGTGAGGTCTGTGATACTACCCGGGTGCCCAGACTGAAGCAGGTGGTTTTCTTAGGGGGCCACATCCCGAGCCTTTGACCTAAAGGTCTGATCCACAGGGCAGTTGAGCATCGAGGGGAGATGCAGTCCCATGGAAGCCGGTGACCAACGATTGTTTCATACGCCATTTGTTCTCGCAGGATATTAGATCCCATGTCCACCATTGATTTGGTTCGGGATCCGGTTAAAGCGCCGGACATTCGCTTTCCGTCCTCTCCATTTCGTAAACAACACTCCCGCCACGAGAAGGCAGTGGTAGGACTGGAAAGTAACGAGATTCATTTTGTCACTGCCAACCACATTCCATAACTCCGCCTCGAGTCCCTCCGGGTGCTGCTGCCACTCCCAAGCTCAGAAAAGGACGAGGCTTGGGGATGGGGTTGGCGACCCCATCCCGAAGAAAAATAACTTGCTAAATGAACGTCAACCAGAAAAAATCCCACATTCATTCGATTTATTATTTTGAGGATACTGACTCTCATAACCAACCAAACACACTACTACAAGGTCAATGTGTGGAGCACGTACTGAATAAGTCGCACCTCATCACGTTGTATTATCAGTGAAAATGTAGAAATTTGATTGAATCACGTATCTCGTAAATAAAATCTATGTTAATTTTATGCAATAAGTAACTCATTTCGATTATAAATATAAGATAACACTGAAATATCCAATGTTGTTGACATGATTGTTCGATTTGAAACCTTTAAACTTCATAGTGCTTACCGTAGGTCATGAACCACTGAGCATGGATATAATGTGACGTAATGAGTTATTGACTAATGGTTGATGGTTTCACAGTTTACCGTTAGTGGATATTTCTATGTTCGTACACAATCTGTGTGGAATGAGATGATCACAAAGATGAGTGTACAAATTCTGTGGTACTTTTGCTCGGCATATGTTATAGACTTGAATGGTTTTTACGATGGAGAAGGCGCGAACAAAGAATTGAATGATTTGGAGTTGATCGAATGGCATGGCTCGGCCATGCAGGCGTGGTCCCTCTGAGTGTTACCTTATATCTTCTATTCATATTAAATATTTTGTTCCTTCTCTAGCCTAACCTTGTTCTACATCATGAATTGGAAATTGGTACGATACAGTGAGTTGGTGTAGTCGATGGTGTGACTTCACGTAAGATCTTATAGATTAGGCAGTTATATCATGACAAATCTACAATTTTAGGATCAGGTCTATTATTAGAGCAGTACTAATATCATAGTAGACCATAATTCTACATTGGTTGAAAAGAGATCCCTTCGCTGAACTTCGCTAAACCATCAATTAGACTGACATGGTTTTGAGATATTTGCTGAATGAACAACTGAGAGAAACCTACTGTAATTATCTGTAGTGAAGGAATATGAAGGAAAAGCAACACTAGTGATAATTATAAGTCAATTTGCTGACCGATTTTGTTAATAGTTTCATTAATATTATCAGTCATATTACGTGATTGTCAAGTCATGACAATGCTTTATGACGATATCCTGAAACTATTATATTAACTACTTACAGTGTTGATTGAGGATAAGCCATTGGAAAAATAGGTATTGTTGCTTTAGATGAGTCGAAATTATCAGAAATTTGTAAAGTTACAGAATCTGAGACGCCTAATTATATTATAAATTCCAATTAAGAAATATTCGTTTAATGTTAATTTTAGTAGGCTGAGTTTTGACTTTAAACGTCTGTTTAGCAAACAGCTACCTGAGGATTTAGTTATTTTACTAGTGCAGTTGATAGTACCTAAATTTTTAATCTTATTATCTAAACTATGTCTGCATTTTAGGCTGCTAATATGATAAACCAATCCATAAACCCAAATACGACTAGCAACAACGACTATGATGGGTTTATTGATAAATGTTAAAGGTGATTCAGATGATTCCTAAATTCAGAGGACATGAAGATATAGTGCAACGTATGTACGGGCCAGGTTAACATGCAGGTTGTTGACATATATGACAATTTAAAATAATGAACATGACCAGAAAAATAACTTCCTGCTTCGGTTTGGGCACCCGGGCAGTATCACTGCCCTCACACATATCAAATGAGATTTGTGTGGCGCATGTGTATTTGGTTCCTCCTTTTACCAGTATCTGTGTTGAAACAAATAATAAATGAAGCTTCAGGTAGGAATATGACGCGTTATAAACATTCCATAAGAAGTTACTGCATTTAGCCCTAGGGACACTTACAAATATATGGAAAAAGCAACTGGAAAACATATACATGTTAAGTACAAAGAATCATTAAGTAAAATAGTTGAACTCGCCTGGGTTATTTCTGAAAATTAGATTATTCAATGGACGACATATATAACGCCATTCGTGATGATCCAAAAGTATCCAGAATAAAACATGCAGTATGGCAATTAATTCCAGGGTGCTTGATGCTGTTGATGTTTTTGCCACTCGCTCGGATCAGAACAATCGAATGAATCCAGATAATTGTGTGGTCGCCATTGAACGAGCCATCTAAAATGACCTTATGATTGCAGAAAACTTATAGCTGAAACTCACCGTATGTTTTTGGAGAAGTGTCATCCTTGTTGTTTGGCAATGGAAATCGAAATATGAAACTAGGCAGGCAGTGGTCGAAAGAAAAGATATTACAGGATAGTGCATAGTTTAAAACAGGATGAAGTGTTAAGTGAAGGAACACTGCGAATTAGATCCAGATAACTATTTAGTCCATGATTGCATTGTTAGTCAATGTATATTTACGTTATTTACAGGCTATATTTGCTAGAGATTAATGTTTAAACAAGTCTATGTCGCTGAAGCATGTAAATGTTATTAAAGCTTGTTAACGAACCATCAAAGCTAATTAGTTAATATAGACGACCAGTTTTTGCTATCGATTGAGCTAGTATGCTATGAGAACTAATCAATATAACATTGCGATAATACATGTGACCATTAATCAGAGGACTATTAGAATTATGGGTTTACACAAATAAAAACCGATTGAGAAGGTTAAGGTGGAAATAAAGATTAACAATAATAGGCTGCGTTTCTTTAGTCGGGCTTACCAATGTAGAACTATGGTCTACTATGATATTAGTACTGCTCTAATAATAGACCTGATCCTAAAATTGTAGATTTGTCATGATATAACGACCTAATCTATAAGATCTTACGTGGAAGTCACACCATCGACACCAACTCACTGTATCGTACCAATTTCCAATTCATGATGTAGAACAAGGTTAGGCTAGAGAAGGAACAAAATATTTAATATGAATAGAAGATATAAGGTAACACTCAGAGGGACCACGCCTGCATGGCCGAGACATGCCATTCGATTAAACCCAGTCCATTCAATTCATTGTTCCCGCCTTTTCCATCGTTAGGTATTTCTCCGCGTTAAATATTGAATATTTATTTTCCGAGTAGGTTGTGTTCAGCTTTGAAGATTGTGTGGTTATGATCCAATCCCACTACACTACTCTCCCACCAGAATCAACGTGATGTTGGTTCGATACCAAATTGGATGGGATCGTCGCGCGCCGGAGGTTACCAAGGATAATAAGAATCCTCCGGGTATTGGTAAGCTGGAAGATAAATCAAAAAGAAAGTGCCACTACAAGTTATCAAGCTGTACAATCGTATATATGTGAAAATGTTTTTCCTAAAGTACTATTTCCTTGCAGAAATGTGAACAAAGTATAACCAAGATGATATGACAGAAGGGTTAAGATACTGGAATAGGTTATACGACTAATAACAATGTACTTATTAAATTAGTAACGAATTATGACGTAAATGTAGTAAGATGACTAGAATGTTTTTGTTACGATAAATAATATCGTTAAAGTTCACAGAAGTGTGAAAAATAAATAAATTGATACGATGAGCATTTATGAATAAAAGAAAGGAAATATGAGAGACAGGTAACGGTGGAAGTGCAGTAATAATAGCAATAATTA